TAGTCGTGATGAAGCGGCTTTGAGATTCTTTTATACGTTTCAAGGCGGTAATAAACCAATTTATTTGTGTAGAAGTATCGATGTGGTGGCTCATGAAGCAGGTCACGCTTTCTTGGATACCTTGCAACCTGATTGGCAAGCTAATGGACAAACTGGCGCTTTCCATGAAGCTTTTGGTGATTTATGTAGTTTATTTGTCCTCATCTCCATGGTAAGTATGGAAACGAAAAAAACCCCCGAGAATGATGAAAATAAAATGTTAACACCAAGTCCTCTAATACTTTTAAAATAAAAAAAATCTACTAGGCGGAAATTGCGGATTTATTAATCACTACGACAAAAGCGAATTTAAGAGCCCCAGATAATTTCTTATCGGCAATCGGTGAAGAATTTGGTGATGCGTTGCACAAAAATAAAGGAAAAGGGTTAAGGAATTTATCCAACACGTTTAAAGGTTCTGAAGTTGGATCTGAAGTACATGATTTATCGATGGTAAGCTTAATTTATTTATTATATACAGTTCTATGATTGATTGATTGGTCTTCTTACCCTCTTTATATTTTGAATAGGTTTTTAGCGGATTCTATTATGATGTATTGGCTGATGTATTCGCATTGGAAAGAGATCCAACCGTTAGGGGTGATACTGAAACGTTAATGACCGTAAGCATTGATATTTTCACTTAATAATATTTTTGTTGTCTGGTTTTATTTTTAGTTAACTTTATGTTTTCACGTGATAGGTTGGAGCTCACTTACGAAGAGTCCTCATAATTGCAATACGTGTTTCCTCTCATCAACCAACGCGAACAAAATTCCAGGAGATTGCAACTAATTTGGATATCGCAATTGGTACTTTAAGCAGAAAATTAGGAGTGGATTTAACCAGTTGGAGACAAATCGTACAGAAACATGCAAAAGCAAGAGAATTATCAATTGCTGGAAGACGACATTTTTAAGCCATTACATAGTTTTTAAATAGATAATATTTTATTATATATAATTAATGTAATTTAAATAGTTTGCTTATTACTGTACCTATTTAGGAATTGCTAATCACTTTAGAGGATTCGTGTTTAAATATTTAATAAACATTTTATATTTTTATTTTAAATTTATAATATTTTTATTATTTTTAATAATGTATTTATAGGAGAGCAAACCAACTTGATGAAAAGTATCTTCCCTTATATATGATTTATATGATTTAGAACTTCAAAAATTAAAAAATACAATTATTGACAAACTTATTTGATGAAACAACAGACCGTTGTTGTGGTCAATATTATTAGTTTTGGTATTCAAACCAAATTAGAAAATGTAGATGCTTCATCTTTTTCACAATTTGTAATGAATACACTTCACTTTTAGTAAAATTCCTATCAAAAAGTTATTTTTTTTTTGCAGAAACATAGTCATGTAAAGAAATTAGCTTATAATTCTGGTTAATATTTAGTTTTGTGTATCGGAGAAGGTATTATAATATTAGAATGAGAATTTTTTTTTTTTTTGATGACAAACATAGAATGGATGGATACTTCATTGGTTGAAATCTGTTAATTTTTAACCGGTTGAGTTTTGCTAGAATTAAACTTATAGAATTACATAAATTTTGGATATATTTAATCGGACTGGTTAATTAATGAAACTATGTTGAAAAGCCAAAATCGAAGCGAAAGTAATAATAAGTGAGGAATTATAAATGATTTTTAATTTTAATAATGTACAGTAAATATAAAATGATTATGGCATCGTTCTATTTAATTCATTTAAAAATTTGATACTTAGCATGGAATTTAAATTTTATTTTAAAGAAGTTAAATATCAAATAAGATATTAATTTTGCTTAATAAGTTCAATACGCCACTAAATAAAAAAAGCATATTTCAATAAAATAAAGTAATTAATTCAATAATAAAAATAATTCATTATACTACCTCATCATTTCCTCCTAGTCTTTCATTATGACAGACAACTTCTTGAAAAGTATCGTTATTAATAGTAAATTGAAAATCATGGCTACTAAGGTTAATAATATCATTTGATTTCAAATAACCTTGATAATTTTCTAATTTACTATAATTATATTTCCATAAACCATTTGAATTTGAAGAGCAACATACTAAAATTAATAAAGCATTATTATTGATCTTTTTTAAAAAAATAATATAGGTTGACTAATGGTTACCTTTTGTGTGCTCCGTTACTGGAGATTTGTAATAATTATATTTAATTCCAAGTAAGTTACTAGAATTATAGTGTCGTAAATATATATTAGTATCGGTGTATGAAGCTAGTTCATTACCGCTCGTAATTATGTTCCATAAAGCATCAGTATCAAGCAAAGTATTCGCAAATACCTAAATGTATTATATACTATATACTGTAAGTATAAATTTATTTAACAATAATTCCATAAAAAGAAATAACATACCAATTGAGCCTTGCTTCCAGTTATATATAATTTAATCCACGAATTGAGCTTAAATATTTTCCTGTAGCAACGTGTTTTAAAGTTACAATAGATCCATTTCTAATTAAATTTGATTCATCTATTGCGATTTTCCCAAATAATTCAATTAATTCACTCGTTGAATTGATATTTTTCATTTTCTTGTAAGACTCACTTGAAAAATGATTTTTCGAAAGTGATAAATAAAGAAAATTCTTTTGTTCTACTATATCATTAATCTCAGCATTATAACATAATTGACGAAAATTTGAAAAAAATTCTGAAGTTTCGCCACCTTGTCTATCTGGTATATATTTTAATAATTGCAATTTCCTTTTATTTGTATTCTTGAATACCGTAAAGGAAAAATCCTCCTTAAGTGCATTACGAAGTTTTTCAAAACTATCAATTCCACTTGGAAGTTTAATGGTTGGATTAATTAATGATATTGCAAACTAATAAAAAAATGAATTTTCCAAAATATAACGGAAACATTCATCCTGATGAGTGAATAAATGATATTCAAACTTATTTAAACGTTTTTTTCGCAAAATATGACAACAGCAGTCTTATAACCTATGCAAGACGGAATTGGTCTTTATTTATCTTAATTAGTATTTACTTGCCAAATGCAGAAACAAAGAAAAAGGATACAACTGCGCATTATGGCGTTATGACTCCTTCTTTTAGCTTCGATTGTCAAAAAAATATCTAATATTCTCTCAATGAAGCTAGTTTATCAAGTAAGTTCAAAAAATACGATACGAATATTGATGGACTCATAAGACCACTACTAAAACACAAATGTTAAGCGCGAAAATGTAGTATAACGCGTTCAAATCAATTTTAATAGCGAAAACGAAAATGGTTCAGACAACGTGATTCGCAAAAATGACTGTCTATTAGGATAATAATAAAAAAACTTTAGATTTATATCTAAGTTCTGGTTGAGAGTTATCTTGAGAGTTCAATGCATTAAAGAGATCGATCTCGTTCTATAGATAATAATATAGATGGTTTTTAGTTTAGGTTGTAAACTTTACGAAACATTAATCAAATAAACGTATCTGATCGTATTGAGCGCCGACGTTGAGGCACTACTTTATTTTCGTTGGATTTCGTCATATTCAATTTTTAATATAAACCTTCTGCTTACCTTGACAATACATAAAGTTAAGATCTGTGCATAACAATATCAAAGTAAAGTATTGTATTATCATGAATATCGATTTGATGCATTACTTTTATTAATTGACTAGTGTTACATTTAATAATTATATGTATTACTTGTATCGAAAGACATATTGATTTTATTAAATAAACATTTATTATTAGTTTCTTTTTTATTTTATTAGTTTATTAGCATTTGTTATTATTTTACTTTTTTATTTTATTTTTAGCATTTATTATTATTAGCGTTTCTATATATGTATTGCTTATTATTTTATTACTATTATTAATTATAAGAAATTCGGCTAACAAAATTTAAGTTAGCGCAATGAAGAACACTGGCCATTAATGTTCGTTAGACATTATTGTTCACTGGCTATAATTGTCCTGTTAAAAATTTAGTATATAAGTGGCGGAATTTTCTTTAATAAAAAAATAATAGTTTTTCAACAACAGTTTTAACACGAATAAAAGAATTAAATACCCGAAATAATAAACAGTTCATCCAATCCTTGAAAAATCTGATAATTTCCTAAATACGAAAATATCATTATTATTTATTTTACCTTTTTATTGTAATAACTCTAAAAGATATAATTAATAAACATACCTGATTGTATAGAGCGCTGACGTTGCAGGTAATACGATATCTATGTTGTATTAAATTAGGAATTCCGATTATTATTAATTAAATTAGTAAAAACAATAAACACAATACTTTCTGCTTACCTTAAAACTCCGTTTATAACCCATAAACACCAAAGAACTGCTATTAACAATATCTTAAAAAATCACAATTCTATAGAATTTGTAGTATTATAAAAGAAGAAATACAGTTAATTACTAAATATTATTTTGATAATAGAATGCAAAGAGTAAATGATACAATAGATCAAATAAAACAATTATATTTTAGATATAATTCTATTATCATAAGATCTCAAACTTTATTTTTATATAATATTCATCTAATTTTTTATTATTTGGAAGAAGGATAAAATCACAATCTAATTTTTAAACCTTTCAAGCCAATTACTATAAATTTAATAATAAATAATACCTTTCATCAGTAAAGAAATATAACAATACAACAAATAAGCTCTTTATTAAAATAACTTAGAAAAGATAGAAGCTTAAGAAATCAGTAAAACTTATAATAATTCTTTGATATTTAGGAGAAATAATTGAAACTAAAATAACAACTTCAACAAAAAGGAAATAATATATAAATCTTTTTATTGTATATTATTAAAGAATCATATTACATTTATATTATCTTTTTGAATTATTCAGAATTGAATAAATATTAAAGACTAAATAAAAATCAGTTAAAATACTCTTTTGCTTAAACTAATCAAACATTAACAACTTCTATAAGAAGCTAATATCATTATAAGAGCTTATATATTAAAGAAGAAAGTTATTAATGATAATTTAGTGATATTCATATAATATTGTGATCCTAAAGATTACAAATATTAACTTTCTATCATTTTTTAATTTTTATAATTTTTATAATTTCTTAGCAATCTGTATTTTTTTAATATATTTGATTTCTTATATTTTTTTTTTTACTTTATTAAATATTTATTTTCTATTAATATATTTTAAATAAATATCATATCTGCTGATTTGAAAATTTTCATGTGATAATTTAATAAAGTTTGATAAGAAAATTTCTCATTAATATATATATATGTATTACACTGATTAGCAAATAGGATGAATGCTATAAAATGGAACCAAATCACTCTTTTGACCAAAATCCATTTTTTGGTTTAATAAATATAAAATTTGCTTATAAATCTTTTTTATTTAATCAGAAAGAATTGTTAGCATAATAAATTATTCTGTTATAGTTTTATATTACTTTTATTATCCTGTATTTATTTTAGTTTTTTTATTTTAAGAAGATAATAATTAATTATAAATTATATTATAAAAGTATTATAATATAATATTAATATCGATATAAATTAATTTAATTCATTTTCGTTATTAAAAATAAGTTTTTTTTTTTTGCTAATATTTAACTAATATTAATCCTTTTATTATTTTTTAATTTTTTAAAAAAAAAATAAATAAAAAGAAAAGAGTCCAAATAGCAATAAATATTTTTGCAAATTATTATCTAATTTAGATCTTATAATGAATAAATAATTTTACTAAATAAAAATTAGGATAGTTCAATAATTTTTCATATGTAAAAGTTAATTATTTATTCATATTGATATCATCATTAAAAATTTGATAATTTTAATGTTAGATAGCATTATTTTTGTAGATTAAATGTTATAGACATTAAGAATGTTTGATTTATTAATAACAAATTTGATATTAAATATTAATAATTTATAATGTCAGTAAAATTATTTCCTTTCTTTTTCTAGTAAAAATCAAATATTATTAATAATAATAAAATTTTGTTTGATGATCACTATATGATTTTAGCATTATATGTAAAAAAACATAAATTTTAATAAAAAAATTAATGAGAAAGACTAATAAACATTTACAAAATGCTTCTCCAGTAACTTGTGTAAGAAAATCAGGATTTTATTATAACTTGTACAATTATAAATGTGGAAGAAAAAGATGATATTGTTTATTTCTGTTTTGCTAAAAAGTATAATTACAGAAAAATAGAGATTATCAGTTTTAATTTTGAATTAAAACACTTTAAACTAGAATATATTTACTAAGTAGCAAAAGAAAAAAAGATTATTAAATAGTATTACTAACGTTAAAATTATCAAATTTTAATAGAGTTAAAAAGATACAAAAAAATGGTTAAATATTTGTTACTAATATTAAAATTATTAAATTTGATAATTTTATTCTCAAATGATATTATTTCTTGTAATTTATGACAATATTAATATCTGTGATACTAATTCTGCAAAATAAATATCACTGATGCTGATAATTTATTCATGCATATGCATTTTTTAATGAATACAAATTTGAATAATATAATAATAATTTTATGTAACAGTATTTATTTTTTCACATCATTTTTTTTGTAAAATTTTCTTTTTACATTCTTTTTTTACATTTACATTTTATTTTTTATGGATTCAGTTAATGAAATACTTTGTCTTAAAATTTTAGAAATACATTTAGAAATAAAATCTTTAACTAAGAATTTGATTAATTTAGAATAGAATATTAAAAAAATAATCAATGACAATTTGAAATTGATAATTATAACTTAAAAAAATTTAGTCTAATTCCAAATAGTAATATATTTAATAATTTTTTAAATGAGTTAAAACATTATAATAATAATATTTTAACAGCAATACAAATTGAAAATTTTTTGATAAATATAATAAATAAAAGAAAATATAAAGGAAAATGAAATAACACTATATAATAAAATAGAAGAATTTTTAAATCAACAAGAAGAAATAGCATTTTTTAATACTCTTCAAATAAAATTTTGTAAATCAGAATGTTTTAGTATAAAATTGATCATATTAAAGCATTTGAAACTTTTCAGAATATAAAATCATCTTTTAAAAACTAATTCTATTATGTTTTTTTTGAGTGTTATAACAGTATAAAATTTTGGCTAAAATCTGTTTACAAATCTAATGTCAATTAAATGTCCTTATTTATTATCTTGTCAATCTTAATGTCAACTTTATGTCCAATGTGAGTTTCAGATGTTAATTTTATTTCCAGTATAATGGGCAACTTTATTGATATGATAATTTTTGCTGATCAATTTTGTCAACTTTATTTCCTTGACAATGTCATTTTATTTTTATAGTTATATTCAGTTTAGTTTATTTTTATAATTATCAAACATGTATAAATATCACTGTATTTTTATTAAGTCTCGATACCTTATGAGGTATAGAACTTACAATTTATTATATTATTAATAAAGTATATAATTAACTAAGTTAAAACTTATTCTTCATAACCCTTTAACCTGTCTATATATTATTATTGTTTATTAACTTTGTGTGGTATTGTATTAATTCATTGTATTGACTTAAAGTGTAGTCGCTAAAACATAATCTCTGAAATATCCAGAAGTTACTCGTATGTAATTGAGAATAATCTTTGACATTTACTATAAATCTTTGTTGTGATTCCCTAAGTTTAGTCTTAGTATCATTAATTTTTGTGAATTTTATTTGAGTTACAAATCAGACGTAACAGTATAATATAGACAATGAAATGTTCAAATAATAATTATGTTAAAGAAACCTTTACAATAAAATATACATTTAAAGAAATTGAAATTTGTGTATCTGCATTTCTTAAAATTTATCTATTAGGAATAAAAAAATGAAAAAATATTATCAAGCAAATTGAATTAAACTAATTATATATAGTAATAAAAAAATAAAAAGCCATAATGCCTTATAATTTGAAATAATCTTATATGTAATTACTTTTATTATTAATTATGCTAATATTCATAAATTACCTTTACCAGATATCATTTATTTAAACAATTTATTTTTTTTAATTAATTTA